AGTGGACCTAGGACACAGCCAAAAACCACATCCTAGGGATCGTGAACTCCAACGCCCAGGATGACAAGAAGAGGAGCCGCCACCATGGCCTGGTGAGGAATAAGGGCTGGCTTCCTGTTGGTATTTATTAACGCACATAGATAAATCCGTAAGTGCACGAATACCACTGTAACTTTCACCCAGAAGTATTCCAAGTATCGTATTCATAGGGAAACATGTGAGACTAACTATGGTCTAACTTAACTAGGGGTAGCAACAAGGTTAGGATAAACAGGAGCGTAGAGAGGATAACTAAGGTTCTCTAGTTCTGACTTCAGTAAGCTATGTCTTCTACTATTCAACTAGGGATATTACTAGGGAAAGACACCAGCAGAGGATGCTTTCCTTCGTAACTGGGGTCCTACTTGGCCTACAAACAGGGGGTGGACTAGAAAGGACTCAATGAATGTGTCACACTTGCATTCTAACGCTACTTCATGATCTACCACCGATCTGGAATGCAGGGTGCATCCACGATTAACCCAAGTCTAAGCACCATGCTTACACTTACGATTAATACTTTACTCCCCCTAGGAAGAGAATAAAGCACTTAAAAGAGTCATGATCTTGATGAACAATATAAATAAGTTGCTTACTTGAATCAGAAGTTGATTACCAGAGAAATCTCACAGGCAAGCTCAAGTCAAACTTGGATCCACCAAGGTACAAGCTGTAGAGAGAGCACCGACAGGCTGACACCACCTACAAACTCTTCCCTCACTCTCTATCTCATTATTTCTATTTATAAGACTAGATTCTATGGAGGACTAATCTTCTCTTGATAGCTGGATCTGATTCTAACGAGGAGGATATGAATTAGGGTTTTAGGATGGCTCTCCAAAGGGGGGTATAGGGCCATATATATAGGGGGTAGCATCAATTCTGGGCCCTTGGATCAAACTGACTTGAATAAATGGCATAGATGCGATCTTTAAGGTGGTGGAGAACCAATATTCGAAGGAGGGGCTGCTAGGTGGGGACAGGAGACCGGCCAACATGCAGGTAGGTCTAGTCGGCCCCACCCGATAGTGCCACAAGCCAGGTTTTGGTGGAGTGCCCTCTGGAGTCCTCTGGAACCTTCTGGTGCTATTTACGCCATGGATAATCATGATTTACTTTGACAAATAGGTCCACCTTGATGGTTTTTAGGATAAACCCTGCTGAAAACACAGATTCACCAAAACTCGTGGAATTTATTAGTTTAAACCCCTAAACCTATGTTTGGTGATGGAATTAAGTATATATGCAGGTTATGTTGGGTTTATAATTAGTGTTAGTGACCATCAACACTTCCGCTACCATGAATCTGGCGAGTAATGAGCGTGCCATGCATCATCACCAGGAGTTCTGGGTACCCGCTCGACGTGTGCCAATTCACACGGGATCTATATCTAGATTAGCAATCATGACTTCGATTAGTGGGATGACACTGATCTTATATTGTAAAGTCATGTAGAAGTAGGATGTAAGTTAGTATGAAAATGACTTTGAGCAGTGGGATGGCACTGCTCTTATAATGTAATAGAAGTCATGTCATATTAGTGATATTAACTCTCCTAAAGTACTAGCTAGTACAATGTTTGAGTTGCCGGTTCCTACATTAGAATGTAAATTTTGGCAACAAACCAATTAGGCAGTCACAAATTTTGGCCATAACCAATATATTCCATAATGGCAATTTTGGGTATCAAGTATCAACCAATAATATTGATTTGGCAACCAAAATTAGAGTTTCTAAAGTGCTTCGAAAACATAGCAATTGGGTCTCAGCATTTGATACAGTTGTCCCCCCTAATATGGCTGAGTGGAAAACATAACTTCTACTACGGTTTTGGCTGAGTGTCCGCTTCCAATTGTTTGTTCACAGTCCATGGTGGGACCAACCGTGATGTTTGACGTAGCACCGCCGTCCTATGGTTACGACCGGTGGTGTAAATGAACCCGGTATATAAGTGCGCGCGGCAAAAACTTTTCCCCAAATTTTCCATTCCAACCCCACTTAGAATGGAGCCGCTCCCCACTCGCCATCGTTGTTCCCATCGCTGCCGTTCCGCCCGCTCTCCGCCATAAATCCGGTTCATAGCGCCGTTTGCCGGCTCCGCCATCCTGCTCCACCGTTCACTGGAGCCACTTCCCTCTCATCGTCGCCCTGCCATTCCGCCTGCTCTCCTCCATAAATCCAGTTCATAGTGCCATTCGCCGGCTCCCCCTACCCCTCTCCACCATTTGTCGGCTCCCCCAACCCCATTCCACTGTTTGTCGGCGGCAGTCGAGCCCGCTATTCGTTTTGCTGGCCATCCAATTCCATCTCTCCGACTGCTGTTTCCCGCACATCTGAGGTAAACAAACTTTGGATTGGCCCTAGTGTTGGGAGTATGCCCTAGAGATAATCATAGAGATGATTGTATTGCCTTGTATCCATGATATATTATGAGTTCATTTGAATATCCATTAAAGACAACTTGTATCGATTGGCAATTATGTGAATTGTTTGTGAAACTCTTTTACTTGTATGGTTATTCTAAAGTTGTCCCTGATCAGAGTTCTTGTGAGGACACACTTGAATATTAGATCAGCACATTATTAGTTGATGACTATGTTTCACAAGTCATAGACATGGAGATGTCAAACTAATAATGTGGGCACATGTATGACATTGGATAGACCCAACGTGAGATGTTCTTATTGTCTCTTTACACATCATGTACGTTATGTCCTTAGACCTAAGATTGTCGTATGTACTCAAGATGTGAAATGACCTACTTAGGGACTATCAAACGCTACTCCGTAACTGGGTAGTTATAAAGGTGGTTTTCAAGTTTGTCGGGAAACATGCTGTGAGACATAGTCAATCAAGATGGAATTTGCCCCTCTTCATGAGAGAGAGATATCACTGGACCACTCGAATGATTTGGATCAAGAAAATGCATGGCCGTGCTTGGGTAAATAGTTAACCCATGAGTTGGACCAAATATCGTGTGACAAAGGGAATAACCTGTATGTGGTTTTGTGGTGGTTCGTCTGATATGATCTTTATGTATGCATAGGAGTTGACATGCTTTGCTAGAGGCCGCTACCAACTATTGGCCGAATAGAAGTATTTGGGCCATGTCTATGTGTGCGTGAACCCATAGGGTCGCACGCTTAAGGGGTGGGAAGCCTAATTCGGATTGGACCCGAATTAGACAAGGTTTAGGGTTGCTAATGGGCCTCCAACTCAGGAGCTCATTAGGACATCTATATAAGCAAGGGGAGGGCGGCAGGGCTAGGTCAATCCACGCCATTTGGTAGCCGCCGCCCTTCCCCATGCCTGTGCCTTCGTTCCTCGTGGACCTAGCAGTCCGGAGGCACGATGCTTCCTCCCTGTACGTGTGGATACCTCGAGGTGCTGCATCTAGAGCACAAGGATGAACCGCATGAGAGGGATGGGTGGAAGGACGACCACGCAACTGCACGACACTGTTGCAACATGCACGACTACACCGAGTCGCTTTCGCTGCACCTGCGCATCTAGTGGTAATCCCGTGATCCATAACTAGCGGTAGTTCTTGGTTTATGGGGTCGAAATTTTTGTTTTTCGGCTAGTGTAGCAACCTCATAACCCTTCTGTGGTATCAGAGCCATAGCTACGTCATTATGGATTCAGATGTATGCATATGGAGATATGCACGGTTGTAGATGTCTTTCTGATCATGGTTCGTGATCTCGCTATGTTGGTCTTGTAATGATCTACTCGTACCGGTCGGAATTCCGCCATTCGAGTTAAGTGATACATGTAAACCCAGTCATGGTGAGTTGGAGATCAATTAGATTGATCGAATCGAACCTAGGTCAAGAGCCTAGCGCATGTGATGCGCAGTGGTGGTAGATTGGATCTATTACCGGGCGTCGGGGTGCAAGAAAAAATGTTGTTCGGTAAAACGGCCATAACTTTTGCATACGACCTCGGATTGAGACGATTCTTAAACGAAAATTGTAGAGAAAAAAATTTTACATCCGATTCTCCCACCACTTTGTCGGGTTCGCTGAATTTATTTTTGCAAAAAAAGGCCGGGAAGATGGTGTTTTTGGCGTTTTATGATTAGATGTCGGAATCGGTTAACTCTATTTTGCAGGATTTGATGATTGGTATAGCCCTTATGTGTATGTGATGCATGTATGTAATTAATTCATGGCTTGCACGTCATGAGGATGACAATATGGGTTGGGGCCTCATAGATATTGTCAACATTATTGTAATGGCCTGCGTGCCAAACTGTGATGATCCTATCTGTGACTATGTAATTTTAGTTCACTGCCTTGCGTTAGTGATAGCTAGTCTTGGCGGACTCAACTGAAGGATGGCATACATGGATCATGGAGATTAATGGAGATGGAGATCCCCAGAGGAACAATGGGCTATACCAAGTCATATATGTGTTAATGCCGTTCTTACTATGTTCTACTTTCACGTGCGATAATGTTTTTGTCTACATGCGATAGTGAAGTAGAACGATCCCTCGGCAATGTTTAAGTTGAATTGCTCCCCCAAACCTTGCACTGTCTTTGGTCTTGTACAATCGGTGGTGGGTCTATGAAATTAGGGTGCCACTGATTTTCCTTGACTAGACAGGTTCGTATCGGATACTTACAGTAGAAAGGTTGGTTACTTGAACAAGGTCATCCTAACGGTTAGGGACCTTGGAGCATAAGGAGTTGGGTGCTATAGCATAGAGATGCTACCCAACAACAAGAGTCATATGTGATATGATTAGCAAAGAGTTGCTTACCGATCTACCATGTCTTCTAGCAGTGATGCTAAAGCTCACTAGTAGACTTGTTAGTTCTAGGTCTTGAATCACTAAGTTTCAATAGAGGGATATTGATTTTAGTGGGAGTAGATTCTATTAAAGGCTTAATATTATTTACTCTGTCATGGATACATTGTCTTAGTATTTTTGCATTACTTTTGTTATAGATAAATGGCGCCTACCAATCAACCGTTTACTTTGCGTTCAATTCTTGAGAAAGATAAGTTGAATGGAACAAACTATGTGGATTGGATCCACAACCTGAGAATTGTTCTCAGGGCTGAGAAAAAGGAAGATATTCTAGACACCCCATTACCTATAGAGCCTACTAATAATGCACCTGCTGCTGAGAAAAATGCTTACAAGAAGGCATCTGATGCTGATCTTGAAGTGAGTTGCCTTATGCTTGCTTGTATGGAACCAGATCTACAGATGCAGTTTGACAACAACCATGCAGCGTACGATATGATTGTGGCGCTCAATGATATGTTCCAGACTCAAGCCAGGACTGAAAGGTTCAATGTCTCAAAGGCTTTTGTTGAAACCAAGCTAGCAGAGGGCGCAGCAGTAGGGCCACATGTGATCAAGATGGTTGGTTACACTCAGAGGTTGGAGAAGCTGGGCTTCCCAATTGGCCCAGAGTTGGCTACTGATTTCATTCTCGCATCTCTTCCACCTAGCTATGGGAACTTCATCTCAAACTACCATATGCATGGGGCGGAAAAGGGCTTGAATGAATTGTGTGGCATGCTTAAAACTGCAGAGGGTGATATCAAGAAAGGTGCTGGCAGTAGCCATGTGATGGCGGTCCAAAATAGGCCCCAATTTAAAAAGAGGGGCAATTCTTGGAAGAAGAAGAAGGGCAAGGCTAAAGGTGAGGCTAAAGGTGAGAACTCTAAGCCAAACCCACCTGCGCCCAAGGCTGGACCAACAACTGACACTGAATGCTATCATTGTAAGGGGAAAGGTCACTGGAAGAGGAACTGCAAGCTGTACTTAGAATCCATCAAGGATAGCGGCAGTAAAGTTGCTCCCGCAATTTGTACACTTGTTGTTTATGTTACGGACATTTTCCTCGCTAACTCTTATATAAATTCTTAGGTATTTGATACCGGATCAGTTGCTCATATTTGCAATACGATGCAGGGAATGATAAGAAGTAGAAGCATGGAAAAGGGAGAAGTTGATTTCCGCATGGGCAATAATGCAAGAGTTGCTGCGTTGAACATCGGGACGATGCAACTCCACCTCCCGTCAGGATTTATTTTGGAATTGAATAATTGTTATTTTGTTCCTAGTTTAAGTCAAAACATTGTGTCACCTTCATGTTTGATGAAGGATGGTTATTCATTTGCGAGTAAAGACAATGGTTGTGTTATCTCTAAGAATGACATGTTTGTGGATTTTGCATCCATTGTGAATGGGTTATTTATTTTAAATCTTGATGATGCACCTATCTGTAATATAAGTGCTAAAAGGCCTCGGCTTAATGAGTTAAGTCCTACCTATATATGGCATTGTCGTTTAGGTCATATAAGTGAGAATCGCATGAAGAGGCTCCATGCTGATGGGCTTTTAACTTCGTTTGATTTTGAATCATACGAGACATGTGAGGCTTGTTTGCTAGGGAAGATGACCAAGGCGCCTTTCACAGGTTTTCCTGAGAGGGCGATAGACTTGTTGGAACTCGTACATACTGATGTATGTGGACCAATGAGCATGATAGCTAGAGGCGGATTCCAATACTTCATAACCTTCACTGATGATTTTGGTAGATATGGCTATGTCTACTTAATGAAACATAAATCTGAGACATTTGAAAAGTTCAAAGAATTTTAGAATGAAGTAGAGAATCAACGTGGCAAGAAAATTAAGGCCTTGCGATCTGATCGTGGAGGAGAATATTTGAGTCACGAGTTTAGCAACCATCTAAAGAGTTGCGGAATTGTTCCACAGCTTACGCCACCTGGAACGCCTCAGAGAAACGGCATGTCCGAGCAACGTAATCTGACTTTGTTGGACATGGTTCGGTCAATGATGAGCCAGTCAGACCTACCTTTATTGTTTTGGGGATACGCTCTAGAAACAACCGCTTTCACATTAAATAGGGTACCGTCTAAGTCCGTAGTTAAGACACCATATGAGATGTGGACTGGTAAGAGTCCCAGTTTGTCTTTTCTAAAAATTTGGGCTTGTGAAGTTTATGTCAAATGACTTCAGTCAGATAAACTAACACCCAAATCGGACAAATGCTTTTTCATGGGATATCCAAAGGAAACTTTAGGATATTACTTTTACAACCGATCAGAGGGCAAAGTGTTTGTTGCTCGGAACGGTATTTTCTTAGAGAAAGAGTTTCTCAAAAGAGAGAAAAGTGGATAGAAGGTGTATCTTGAATAAGTTAAAGATGAGCAAACAGGGAAGGACTCTACGAGTGATGCTAATGTAGCAGAACAAGTTGAGATACCCGTGGCAGTAGAGGCACCGCCACAACCACGAAGGTCAGCAAGAATTCATGAGGCACGCGGGGAATTGTTATTGTTGGACGATGACGAACCTGCGACATATGCGGAAGCAATGATGGACCCAGATTCTGAGAAATGGCAAACTGCCATGAGATCCGAGATAGATTCCATGGGAGACAATCAAGTTTGGAACTTGGTTGACTCGCCTGATGGGGTTAGACCCATAGAGTGCAAATGGATCTATAAAAATAAAAAGGATATGGATGGAAATGTTCACGTCTATAAAGCTTGACTTGTTGCAAAAGGTTTTCGGCAAGTTCAAGGAATTGACTACGACGAGACTTTCTCGCCAGTAGCGATGCTTAAATATATCTGGATCATTCTAGGAATAGTTGCTTATTTCGATTATGAGATATGGCAGATGGATGTTAAAACAGCCTTTCTAAATGGAAATTTAGAAGGGGACGTGTATATGATACAGCCCGAAGGTTTTGTTGAAACATTCATTTTGACGAAGTAGTCAAAGGGTTTGGTTTTCATCAGAATGAAGAAGAACCTTGTGTTTACAAGAAAGAAAGTGGGAGTGCTGTTGTATTTCTAATCTTGTATGTAGATGACATACTATTGATTGGGAATGATATTCCAATGTTGCAATCAGTAAAGACTTCACTGAATAATAGTTTTTCAATGAAGGATTTAGGAGAAGCAGCATACATTTTGGGCATTAAGATCTATAGAGATAGATCGAAGAGGCATATAGGATTAAGCCAAGATACGTACATTGACAAGGTGTTGAAACGGTTCAACATGGAACAGTCTAAGAAAGGGTTCTTGCCTATGTCACATGGCATGTGCTTTAGCACTAAATAGTGTCCTTCGACAGCTGATGAGCGCAATCGTATGAGTAAGGTTCCATACGCCTCGGCAATTGGTTCCATCATGTACGCCATGATATGTACACGTCCAGATGTCTCACATGCTCTAAGTGTTGCGAGCAGGTACCAAGCTAATCTAGGTGAGAGTCACTGGACACTTGCTAAAAACATTCTTAAGTACTTGAGAAGGACTAAAGATGTGTTCCTAGTCTATGGAGGTGAGGAAGAGCTCATTGTAAATGGTTACACCGATGCTAGCTTCCAAACTGACACGGATGATTCACAGTCTCAATCAGGATATGTGTTCACAATAAATGGTGGTGCGGTTAGCTGGAAAAGTTCCAAGCAGGAGACGATGTCCAATTCTACAGCAGAAGCCGAGTACATCGTAGCTTCTGAATCTACGAAGGAAGGTGTTTGGATGAGGAGGTTTCTCATTGAACTTGGTGTGTTTCCAAATGCATCTAGCCCATTGAATCTGCATTGTGATAGCAATGGGGCTATAGCACAGGCCAAGGAGCCAAGGAATCACCAAAAGAACAAACATGTACTTCAGAAATTTCACCTCATTAGAGAGTTCATTAGTAGAGGTGACATCAAGATGTGCAAGATACACACGGATTTGAATGTTGTAGATCCTTTGACAAAGGCTCTTCCACAGCCTAAGCATGAGATGCACATGAGAGCTATGGGTATTAAATATCTTCGAGATTGACTCTAGTGCAAGTGGGACATTGTTGGGAGTATGCCCTAGAGATAATCATAGAGATGATTGTATTGCCTTGTATCCATGATATATTATGAGTTCATTTGAATATCCATTAAAGACAACTTGTATCGATTGGCAATTATGTGAATTGTTTGTGAAACTCTTTTACTTGTATGGTTATTCTAAAGTTGTCCCTGATCAGAGTTCTTGTGGGGACACACATGAATATTAGATCAGCACATTATTAGTTGATGACTATGTTTCACAAGTCATAGACATGGAGATGTCAAACTAATAATGTGGGCACATGTATGACATGAAATGGATGCAGACCCAACGTGAGATGTTCTTATTGTCTCTTTACACATCATGTACGTTATGTCCTTAGACCTGAGATTGTCGTATGTACTCAAGATGTGAAATGACCTACTTAGGGACTATCAAACGCTACTCCGTAACTGGGTAGTTATAAAGGTGGTTTTCAAGTTTGTTGGGAAACATGCTATGAGACATAGTCAATCAAGATGGAATTTGCCCCTCTTCATGAGAGAGAGATATCACTGGACCACTCGAATGATTTGGATCAAGAAAATGCATGGCCGTGCTTGGGTTAATAGTTAACCCACGAGTTGGACCAAATATCGTGTGACAAAGGGAATAACATGTATGTGGTTTTGTGGTGGTTTGTCTGATATGATCTTTACGTATGCATAGGAGTTGACACGCATTGCTAGAGGCCGCTGCCAACTATTGGCTGAATAGGAGTATTCGGGCCATGTCTATGTGTGCGTGAACCCATAGGGTCGCACGCTTATGAAATTTGGAAGCCTAATTCGGATTGGACCCGAATTAGACAAGGTTTAGGGTTGCTAATGGGCCTCCAACTCGAGAGCTCATTAGGACGCCTATATAAGCAAGGGGAGGACGGTAGGGCTAGGTCAATCCATGCCATTTGGCAGCCGCCGCCCTTCCCCACACCCACGCCTTCGTTCCTCACGGACCCAGCAGTCCGGAGGCGCGATGCTTCCTCCTTGCACGTGTGGATACCTCGGAGGTGCTGCATCTGGAGCACAAGGACGAACCGCACGAGAGGGATGGGCGGAAGGACGACCACGCAACTGCACGGCACTGCTGCAACGTGCATGACTACACCGAGTCGCTTCCACTGCACCTACGCGTCTAGTGGTAAACCCATGATCCATAACTAGCGGTAGTTCCTGGTTTATGGGGTCGAAATTTTTGTTTTTCGGCTAGTGTAGCAACCTCATAACCCTTCACCTAGTCCCCTTTGAGTCTAACCTATCCTCCACCCTGTTGTAGAACAACAACTCTTTTTGCCCATTGTGTTTTCATTCCATTTAGGACCAATAGTTAAAGATAACATTTTGTAGACCTCTATTTGGAAGTAGAACTATCATATGGGTAAATCCGTCATAGCTTTTAGTTTTCATTCAGTAGCTTTTAGAGAAAAGCTAACTGGCATTCGGTTGTTTTGGACATCCCTAACATGTGATTTTGTGACCGTCTGATATTATTAGTGTTTGTTGTTTGAGCTTCCGATCCATTACATCTGTTTGCATCTATGTTTTGTTATGTTCTATCTCTCATATTTGTGAACAATTGGGCATATATTTCTCTGAGATCTGCAATCCATAGAAATAAATTGTAATTTTTTCTAAATAATTTGGCATATATTTCTCTGAGATCTACTATCCACAGAATAGAAGTTGTGTTATCTCCAAATTACATCACTGTGTCCAATAATATCTATGAAGAATTCATTGTAAATGTAGTAATAAGGCATTATAAATATGTAAAAAGACATTGTAAATGCAACCAAGTACCAGGCATGGCCAGAACACTCTGTTTGCTCATATTTTATTGAGTTCACAGCATTAATATGTACTCATCTGGAGCTTGAGCATGCATCTGGTGTTGAACAAGGCTTGCTTTATTTGTGCAGGTCCAAAATGGCTTGTACAACACCTTCATCACAAGGTTCGTCATCACCTATGGAGTTCTTAGTTTGGTTATGTGTACACATATTTTGAATTGAATGGCTTGACAACATTGTGTTCATTTAGGACTTTTACAAGGATGGTGAGAGTATATGCACAGCTCATTTTAAAAAATCCCATTAAGGGGGAACCCCTCCTGTTTTACATGGAAAAAATCAAGGCTCATTGCTCATGAAGTACCAGTGCCTGAGGGTGTCTTCCCGCCGTCCCCTTCATCGTACGTCGATCTTGCAGGAATCGATGAGGTAATCCATCTACGTATTTCCGTAACTGAGACAATTACTCTGTCATATATAGTACAATCTTAAAGCCTGAGTATTTGATCTATATGTGCAGGAGCAAGCTCCCACCAAGAGTGACACAACCACAGTAGATAGGCCTGCAAGGCACTGGGGTATCACCGAGTTGGATCTGGCCAGAGAACCCATGGAGCCATCCTTTTCATGGTACCTTGACCTTGGGGGAATCGGCGAGGTAATCCAACTGTGTATAGCTGTAGCTGATTCAATTACTCTGTTTATGTAGAATAATCTTACAGCCTGAGTATTTGATCAATATGTGTAGGAGCAAGTTCCCACCAAGAGTAAGACAACCACATCAGATAGGCCTCCTAGGCGCCATGCTAGGAGAGGGCAGAGCAAGTTGCGCACCGGTAAACAATTTATCACCGAGTTGGATCAGGCCAGAGAACCCATGGTGCCATTTGGTGTCATGGGGCCTTACAAGATGGTCATTAGGATGTTAGTGAAGGACAACATGCATACACATCAAAGCAGGTACTAGAAATAAAAGGGCAGCGAATGGGCGGTTCCATCTAGTATGAAGAATCTTTGTTGGGAGAAGCTAAAGGACCTGTTTGTTTTTCTTGATGGGTTTGATGAAGAGGTGGTAAAGGATCGGGCGTTCTTTATCATGGGCAACTCATTCAAGTATTTTAGGTACTACCTGACCTCCCAATATGTAAGGAAGGGCATCGAGCCAGAATGGATATAATACCCACATCAGCAAGAGTATTAGAGTGATTTCATGAGTGGGAAGCAATTGGATGAGGCGAAGGAACAAAGTGAGGCAAATATGATCAACTCCTGCAAAAATATGAGGCCGCATTGCACCGACTCGCCTGGCTACATGAGGAAAATCTGAGATTGGGAACTGGACAAGGAGCAGCTAATCCAGAGCGGTGTTACAGTCTATACATCTGACTAAGATCCTCGCTCTATAAGGTTCCTTCTTACGAGGGGGTTTACCTTCAACCTAGATGGCTCCCTAAGTTATGGGGATGCTGCAACCGAGGAACTCACACAAAGGATCAAGGTAGTCCCCAAGGAAGTTGGTAATGGTACTTTCAAGCCTAATAGGGAGAATGATCAGCTGACCCGGCCACATGGAAACAAAGAGCATCCTGGTCGTACATGAGGGATCGTACATGAGGAGAATGCCCAAAAAGAATTGGAGTTTCAACATATGATGGAGGCTGTTCGACAAGAAATGAAAGAAAACAATGAACAATTACGTCAAGAGCTTGAGGAGAGAATAAAGAACCGTTCAATGCTCTCTCTGGCTCACAGGTTTGGCCCTTTAGCCCCTTTAATTTGGATGACCTTGCGATGTACTTAGACTGTTTAGCAAAGCTTTTCCAAACTATGTTTCACCTTTTTCTTGTGTTCTATACCAAAGTGTCATATACACCAGAGCTGATTAATTTGGAGATATTTGGGTTCCAAGAAGATCTTCCCCAGTTTGATTATAGACCAAGTTGTGAGCACCAAGGGAGTCCATCACCTTATCTAATCAAGGTGCTACTATTCTGAAAACTATATATTCGCTATTGTTGGATTCGGATGTTATGTCGAGGTAGATTGAGAACCACATTTGTCGCTGTTGTAAGGAAAATGGACCCTAGGCCCATTTACTTTGGATTTTGGTGTTTGATGACCAACACAACCAAATTGGACTAATGAATTTGCTAGTGATTGTTTTGTAGTTCAATAGGGTGCAAGACATGACTTGGATGAAGGAGACGTGGTGATCCGATGATCAACACCATAAGCAAGACCTTAGAAGCACAAGAGAAGACCCAAGATATCAAGCAAAGTCCAAGAACAAAGATAGGAACCAAGCCGGACGCAAGATCACGAAGAAACAAGCTCACAAAGGTGACTGGACATCCGACGCTCGATCAAGAGGCTCGACAACGAAGGCAGCAGCAGCAGTGACCGGATTTGGCAAATCGACCAGAACATAGGACTGCAGCGTCCGATCGAAAAATGTAAAGGTTCTAGAGCTACGAAATTGTGATCGGACGCATCGGTGGCATGGTGGGGTCCGATAAGTTGATCACGGCTTATCTAACGGTTGGGACAAGGTATCGCGTCCCGGGTCGACGTGAGCGTGATCGGCCGTCTGCGAAGAGCGTAAAAGGGATTTCATCCCCAACGGCTACTTTCTCCGTGGGGCTTATAAATAGACCCCCTAACCAGCCATTTGAAGTGTGTGGAGTAGAGGAAACATATCTAGGGTGTTGATACACCATTTTAGTGATCTCCACTTGCATAGTGCTTAGTGATTCATTAGCTGATTAGCGTAGGTGCTTTGCGAAGTGCTTAGGTTGATTAGACCACCGCTTATGCACTTGCTCTAGGTTTAGGCCTAGTGTTTAGTGAGGTTTGCGTACCTCTTACCACTCGGTGCTTGCGTGCACCATTGTTGTACATTGGAGGGGCTTGTAGTCTTGCGAGATCACACCAACCATGTTTGTGGTGTGGCCGCCACCGTGTACCGGAGGGAACAAGGCCGACGGCGTTTCGGTCGGAAGCTTGATAGTGAAGACAGCGGGGAGCATCCGGGAGAGGCTTGCCGGATGGCACGTCGGAGACCCTCTTGCATGTGGGGAAGGCCCGAGGCTATCCACGGAGTTACCCGACCGGGAGCTTGGCCCTTGTGAGAGATTCCTTGTGAGGGGCTCCATCGAGGACTAGGGGGAAGCTT